AATAGCTAAAGGAAAAAAAATAAATTAAATTTTCTCTGTGTTTGATATTAATTATTCCCTGGGTATGAGTTAATAGATGTCAATGTGGGATATTTTTTCTGAAGAGTTGTTTGTCAATCTGCCAATAGTATTTTGCTTAAATGACAAGCAAACACTCACAAACACCAACTGATTTGATAAATCTTTAGTTGTATCGTCAATGACAGGCTTCAAAAAAGGTTGTCAAAGGAGCTTGAGGAGGAAAAGGAGAACAAGAATCACAAACAATTTTGGCCTTTACCTGCCCATACTTCAGTGATACTTTCTAATAGGAATCAACTGTTAAAATGAAAACAGGGTAGGTAAATGATAAAACAAACCTGCTTACAGCTTAGTTTGCTTTACTCGTATTTCTGTATTTTAGCTCCTTTTAGGGACACAGAACAACAAAAGAAAGGGACAGTGTATGGCCAAAAGCCTGAGGAAGAACTATGTAGTCCTACATCTGGGTCCCACCTCAAGTACACACACCATTTATCTCAGCATTAATGAGCAACTCTCCTACACCATGCTATTTTTATTCTATCAGGACAGCATGAGAGAAAAAGGTAGACTTGCTTCAGGTTCTAGGTAAGAAGATTCTGGTGTTTGCCTATTTATAGTCACTAAATACATGTCACCAAGAACCTGGTCACGATGGGCTCTCATGCTCACTATGGCCTTCAAAACCACAATTCAGCCATCCCAACTTCCGAAACTTGATGTTCACTTCCTCTGCAATACGTATAAAATAGCTGTGAGAAAAACTTGTAGAAATTTAGGAGTGTCAGATATGTGGGATGACTTCAGGCCAAAGCAGAGGGAAGGGATGGCAACCAAGCTTCAGTGCCCCAGACTGCAAATTTACTGACAAGACCATTGTTTTCAGCTTTAGCCTTTACAAAACCATGTTGAATCCTAAAAACAGTCATCACAGGGTAAACATAACAGTCTAGGTCTTCAGCATGAATAAAAGTGAGCACTTGTTGAGCTTGGTAAGGATGTGAGACCACTCAAAAATGAGGACTTCAGTGAGGATGGCTAAAACAACACTGTGTAGATGCAGGGGAGAGCCAGGCATCACTTAGAACTTCTGAAATACTGAAGGAAACAACCTCTTCTACTTGACTGTGGGGCAAAGAGGAGCAATGAAGCTCCCTCAGTGCCTCCCAGCAGCATGAACACCCAGAACTGAGCCATATTCCCTCTTTCGACGATGATTCGTTTCCTGTTAAAGCAGATGCATGGCACAAACTCACAAAAACAAGACAGGCAGGAAGGAGGGGGAGAAGAGTCTGGAATTCAGACAGTGAAAAGAAAGGAAATCAGAAGCATTGCAATGACCTGTCTGACCTAGGAAGTATTGGATATGGCAGACTGCAAACAAGACCAGCAGAGTATAAAAGGATCACTGACTCCAGGGACAGCATTTCCATCCAAAAGCCAGTGGGTAACCTTTTGCAACAAAGAACTCTTTTTTTTTTTTTTTAAGAATTCTAGACACTGACAAGAGCCAGATTAAACAAGCAGCAAACCAGCCAAGATCTTCATTTTTCTTAAAAACAATATCCCTAGCTTCACTAAATCAAATCACGGCATACCAGTATTTTTTTTGCTTTAATACAAAATAGAAACTTGAAAAAGACAGCTATATGGAGAGAAAAGAGATCTGCCCCAAAGTGCAGTTGAACATTTCCTTCTCCAAGAATTCTTCTGCTCTTGCAGTGTCCTTAACATTGGCAGTGCCACATTTCAGCCCAACTAAAAGACTCTGCTGCTCCACTATACAGCTCTGCAGGCTTTTGTTGTTTGTTTAGTCTTCCTCAGAGGCCCAATGTTGTTTGAAGACATTTACAAAAATTAATTGCCCTTCAAGTTCCCAAGACTAAATTTTTATTTTCTCAAACGCAGTGGGAATGGGGTTAAACATTACAGGGAAATGACTGACCAGATACAATGACTCTTGGGATCTAAAGCCTACTATTAGTTAAGAAAAGAGAGGATTCAATTATCTTACTGTATATTAGTGAGCTAATGGACATGGTGTGTCAGGAGAGGAAACAATACACATTTACTATATTTTCTGAACAGAATGAAATAAAACATTTTTTTTTAATAGCTAGTAAGCATATTAATATTCAGCAGCAGAGCAATAAGAAAAACAAGGGGGTTTGAGGTTAGCCTCATGTAAATACCAGACCTGCTACAGTCTCCTATTACATACTGGCAAATCAGCATTATCTTCACTAATCCTAATTTCACCTCATACAAACTCTTCATCAGTTTCTTCATCTGAGAAGTTTTCCACCTGATGCCACGTGGAGCTGAAACAGTATTGCTTATGGTGCTAGTGACATAAAATAAAGGCAAAATCAGTCAAGTTGAAAGAGCTGGTAAGAAACAGTTCAGAAGTGACTCATTTGAACCTGTCAAGCCTCTCAGGGATAAGAGCTGCAGTATGACTGGTCATGTGCAAGGTTTGGCTTAAAAGAACTAAGGTTAATAACTTAAAAATGGGTGTCAGCATTAAGTGTCAATAAAACCACAATGTCTGTGGCCCACAGTGCTGTCACTTGCTGTACACGCAATCCAAGTTTGCCATGGACTACATTCCCTGGAGCAGATAGCTTTCAGAAGCACCCTTTTCCCTGCACCATGCCAAATAATAAACTAGTGGGACTCTAAGCAGCTATTCCCCCTTTTTCACCTTTTTTTCCTGGACTGCATTAAAGGTAAAAGGCAAAATAGAAATGCAGTCGAGCTGTTCTGTGATTCCTCCTGTGAAAGGCATTCAAAAGGAAGAGAGGAGGCAACAAATTAATGAGGAATGAGTTGTGCTACATGTAGGCTAAAGCCTTCTGTGTCTTCAGCCAAAGTCAGGAATGGCACAGCTACACCTGAGCACAGACACAAGCATAAATTACTATTTTAAGTCTTTCCTATGCTACCTTTTCTTTGCTCCACTGTCTCAATCAGCACAGCTTCACTAGCCCTGATGTAAGCAGGCAGTGCTAAGCAGTAATATATAAACAGAATATCTAAGAGAAGAAGGACACATTTACAAGTCAAATGTGGGGGATGCAGATGTTATATAGCTGAGAGCTACCGAAATGCCTTTTTGTTTTAGAGTTGTTTAAACCCTGTAAGTTTCATCACCAAAATTAATACCTGCTGTTTGTGCTGTAGCAGACAGAAGAACCTATTTAGCATAGTGATAATTATCAGCTAAGTTGTGTATCTAAGACTTTATTGCACCTGCCTCTCCACCACTAGCACGCTGCAGAACTCGATTACATCTCAGCCAAACCTTGCTCATCATACGGAGCACGCACTGCAGAGCAACTCAAACACCCACAAACAAATCTTCATGTGCCACCCTGAGAATAGCTAAAACTCACAGAAATGAAGACAAGCAGAACAGTGTCTACCAGCATCAGACAATGAAGGAAATTATCAGGTTTTCTAGCATGAATCTCAAGCTCCATCCTTCCTCCCTTCTGCCCCAGGTGAGATATCTTGCTTCTCTACTTCTCAAGGTTTGTATGCTTTTAGGCATGTTAATGACTTGAAGCTTGTAAGATTACCAAGTAGAAGAACAGTTCTCCTCCTGTGGGTCTTGAGAAGAACATAAACCTAGACCTCTACAAACAAAAGGTCAGCATGACTACTCAGGTCCAAGGGAATGCAAAAAGATCCAGAAAGAATGTTTTAAATATTGCAGATAGCAGTCTCTAGTAATGTTGAGCTGTCAAGGTACTATGTGCCTAAAAAACACTCAAGGAGACTTACAGCTGCAAAGAGTTTACAATAGTTGTGTCAACAAGTTGACTTGTGCTTATTTTGTACTGTAAATTTTCGTCCTGATTTTGCCCTAAAAGTTTGCTGCAAACTCTATCCACCTCTGCTTGAAAAGTCACAACCTTTTGTCACTTCCTACTGCACAGGACACACAATCACAGCAATGCAACACAGAAGGGTGGTATTTAGAGGCACTATTATCACAGACACAATGAACATGAGCAAACAGGTGGAAGCACAGGAAAAAGAGAAGATAAAATCAGATCCACAAAAAGAAGCAAAACGTTGGAATAGGGACTTCTGCAGAGACGCTTAGGTGTGGGAGATGGAAAAGATGATCAAAGCCCTCCAACAGATTTTCATTAGAAAAAATAAAAAATCTACAACAACTTCATTTCTGGCTATACACAAAAGCATAACTCCATGTTGGCAGGGATGGTCAGCTGGCACTGCTCCAGTGCCTACGCCTGATCAATAGTCACTCAGTAGATACAGTACTTCTGTCTGCAAAGGGGACCGATGACCTCGGCAGGCTAACGTGCATCTCTAGAAATAACTTCCACTCAATACACCCAGACTAATGTCTTGTCCTGTTATTCAAAAAGAAAAGAGCAACTGCACCTCCATCTGCAAAAGGAAGCGTGAGAATGTACCAGGCTACAATTCCAGCCTGTGAATGCTAATTAAACACAGACTATCCTGCAGTGCAGAGTCAGATGCTGTAGAAAACTTGAGCTTTAAAGAGTACAAATCAGCCTTTAGAATTAGCTGCTTGCTTAATTCCCATTTTCCTTCTCACTCTGTTGTGGTGCTACAACTGTTAGGAATGAGGTTTTAAAAACCTAAATCTCCTCACAAATTCCTCTTCAGAAGCCAGATGTTCAAAGTTCAGTACTGCAGTGCCCAAGATTACCACATCTGCATTTCTGCCTTGAGGAAATATCCATTCAAGCCTCATCAGCACACTGGAGTGTGGATCAGGAACTGAAAAGTGAGTCCAGTGGTTCACAGTGAGATAATTTTCCTCCCAGATTGCCCCTTTAGCAACTCATCCTCAGTGTTCACACCATTAGCTGTATTTACAGCACACTGTACCATAATAATGCCAACTGTATTTCACAGTCCTACCACACAGCTGTATTGCTGCATGGGGAAGCTTCTGGTCCAAACCCAACTTTTTTTACCTTTGGATCAGCAGTCAGCAGCTTGAATGCTTGATATACTTGTGCTTCTTTCACACCTCCACCAAGATCCAAGAAGTTGGCTGGCTTTCCACCATTCAAGGATATTATATCACATGTTGCCATTGCAAGTCCAGCTCCATTGACTATAATTGCAAACATCAAGTGCTTATTATATTCCACACAAAAGTATGTAAGATTTGTGAAAAAAAGCTTCAAACATGAGCACAACCACATAACATAGCTGAAAACATTACATAAATATCTATTTCTAAATAGGTCAGTACCTGTTCAAGGATAAACAATACAACAAATAATTAAAGATCTGGTGCATTTAGGTTTCTTTATAACTATATCAATTTTAGGACTTAGGACATGCACCTTTCCTTAAGCATGTATGAGCACAGGAATGGTAATTATGGAAAATCAAAAACTTTTGATTTTAAAGAGAGAGACAAACAGTTCTGGAAAGAGT